GATTACAAACTTATATGAGCTTGTTTGAGCTTACTAAGGCTTGACTTGTTAGCTTGCGAGCCAACTTGTAAATCTTAATTTTTTTCCTTTTCTCTCAGTTTTTTTGTTGACATATGTTACCTCATGTGAGTTCCGATTGCATGAACTCTTTCCTTCAAGTGATGACACCGATTACACTGATGCAATCTCCAAAAAATTCTCATTATGACTTCTTGTGATCCTGCTAGTCTGACCTCTCATCTCACATCAAATAGAGTGGTGCACTGATAGTTAGTATAATAGATAACAAATAAGAATATGATAAATATATAGGAAAGCTAGCTTGATATTTTTCATAGTCTTCAACGAAAAAAACCTTATTTTATAGAGAGATAAATATAATAAAATAATATATTAAAAAATATTATTATTAAAAGAAGATTGTGATAATTGCTATAGTTTTGAATGAGAGACTGAGATGATAATATGATGGATTTTCTCACCAAAACAAAAATAAGATAATGAATAAAATATTATGTAGCTATACTTGGCTACTAGTGTATACGACCATCATTGTCAATGCCTTCTTTAGTGAGGTCTTATCATGATCGTGTTCAGTGTCAATGATGCACTCTTTAACAAACTCCCATCGCAATCTTGTAATCTTGCTAGTCCCATAAATGCATTTTTCAATGATTTATTACCACAACTTCTATTATTTGGGCAAGCTAAGCTTGAGCTTAATTTATTGGCTTGACTCAATTCAATCTCATGTTTGAAGTTTCCATTGAATAGAACAATCGACCTTGATTTTGTCTTGACATGAGCTCGATTCAACTTGTTTTGCACCAACTTAAGTCACTTCGTTGTTGGATAAGAACTTCAATCATTAACATATATGGCCTATTTCAAACACCAGTGCATTATTTTGTCCCTAAATGTTGTAAAGTAAAAGGGTTAAACATTACCTAGTGAGGTATAAACAACTTCACTACTAGTTTATGAATGAAAATAATTGTGTCTTGGAAAATCAAATCACAATGTTTCTCAATTTAGGCATAGAGTTGACCAGCCATCTAAAGTTTATGCAGATGGCGCATAGTTAGCAAACAAACAAGTCAAGGATTTTGTTGGTTAGCTTATCTATTTTTTTCAAAGATTATGGAGGACTACATACAACATAGTTATAACAATCAAAGATTGTTCTCTTGAATAAGAGGAGTAAGCCTCAAGAAATTTGAAGATTTTCTTTTTATTTATTGTATAAATAAATTTAAGGATGATTAAAATTTTTAGCACCCTTTGAGTATCATTTGTTTAAAAGTACCTTTGCACATTATCAACTAATCAAGTTTTGTGATTTTATGTACATCTCCTTTTTCTTATACATTCTTTTGATCTCATTGCATGCTTAGCTCATCATCCATTGACGAGTTTCTCCTTGAGCTTATTATATAATAAAACATGGTTGATAATGGTAGAACTTAGATTAAGATCAATAGGAACTAGACCATACATTACATATCATGTGCTTAGGGTATGAAAGTCACAGACATATCAATTTTACTTGGTATAAATGACACTTTAATTGTACTGGGCATAGCTTCTAACCTTATGGAATCCGATTTGTTTGATATTTGTCATGTGCCTCGACAATGCTAGTAGAGAAGGAACTTACAGGCTCTTGTTGTCATAAGCTTAATTATGCTAGCATCCTCAACAAATAGTTAGATGAAATCAAATCTCGTTATTTCTTGGTCATTAATGATAATTTTTTTTATGTTTACTTTTGATAAAAGTACATTTATGCTCAGGAGAGAAAGAATCACGTATGTTGGGAAAAAAATAAAATAACATTTTAATATGACACACTATGAGTTCTTTAGGTTAACTCTGAGAAGGAGTCAATCACCCTTTACACATAACTTAGTGTAACATTTTTCTGATAGTCATACTATGTTAGAAGAAATTTTTTGGAAGGTTACAAAATAAAAGATAGCGCTGAGGAATGCGATCTGGCTGAATTGTCTCTAGCCATTAAGATCCTTATTCACACGCTTTGTGTTCAGGGACAAGGCTAAATACCCTTGTTCCTAAGTAAATAATTATTTGACACATAATCAAATAATGATAATTTTTTCTTTCAAGAATAAAAATGGTTCAAGTAAATGATGTGGAAAGACTGCGGGAGGACTTTCACTTTGTACATTTGTAGCTAGTAGACACCTTTCCTAAAATGATCTTTCGTTTTACGTAGGCCTTCCTGACTAGTTGAGAAAATTTCCAATCAGAATGCTTCCCTATGACTACAAATTTCATAAGAATGAGGTCCTTAGCTTCAAATTCTCATAGTTTAAATTTGTAAGAGTCGAGTGGCTCGAGCATGGCATATTATAGCTTAGTATGATAGAATAATCTTTCTTTCTTCAAGGAGGTTAAGGTTGATGGTCTCGACATCATTAATCCCTTTGATCTAGTTGAGTGCTTGCAGTGCTGGAAGGGATAACATTTCTTATAGTCTTTGCATTAAGTGTAGATTTTGGTAGAGATTATCACCTTGCAATTAAATATGATAAAAAGGGAGGTTCACTATCAATGTTGGCTGGCATTCTTCTATTATCCAAGATGACCATGTGCAATTTTTTATCTATAGCTTATTCTTTTCTTAAGAAGCTTGAGTATGAACTTCTTTGTGGCTTTTACTTGTCCATCAGCTTGCGTATAATGAATACATTATTGGCACTAAAGTGAGCAATATTATTACTAACAAATCATAGCTCATTATTGAGGATGATGACAAAGTGCAATCTGAACCTGGCAAAGATCTCTTCCCAGAGAAAGTTAATCATGACTTTAGTTAAATTTAATATAATTTGTAAAGTAGTATAATAAAATCAATATAAATTGACATCATTGCAATGCCTTGGGAAAAATTTGTGCGATTACATGTCTTATAGAGAAAAAGACCCTCATGAAGTGATGGTTTGTAGAAATAGGTTGGGCTAGAATATGAACTCATCACGGAGCTGACGACTTTTTCATATTTATATGAATGCTTGTGCAATTTTTGAATGGTTGGCCAATAGTATACTCACCAAATGATTTTTTTTTATGGCAAGTTTCTCATAAGCTAAATAGTTATCACATTTTCTCAAATGTTCTTCTTGCATTAATTTTTGAACTCATCGAGGACTATGACTTCATAGGATAATTCATTAGTTTGACTTCCAGGAGAGGATATCACTTGCAAGAAAGTGACATGTTGATTTAAACTACATGGTTCTAGTTTCCATGTTAAAGTTTGGTAGTACTCAGTTGGAAATCAATTTTTTTAATTTTCTTAATTTTAATGGGAGCATTTTAGCCAGGCATCAAATCAGTGGTATGAACATCCCCTGTCATTAAAACTTTATAGATTTCCTTTGTGGAGGTTGTGTGGGGGCTGCAAAACTTAGAGTATGAATTTGTGAATTGGTTATTGTCTCTTTATATGTGTGAGATTTCAAACATGGCCAAGTAGGTGATTTTGATCTTGAACTTTTTTAAGGAAAGGGTTAGCGTTGAGTCTTGCCTCATAATAATGCTTTATTTGTTCACCTACAAGGAAGGCTCATAAATTTCAAGTGTTAATTAATTGAAGAATGCAGTGATTAGCAAGCATGATTATTGGTCTACTTGAAGTTTAAATTTAGAGAAGATTGAGGCACTAACCCATGGGGCCCTTAAAGCATAATCAAGCCCCTTTGATTGTTCTTCCCAAAAGCTCTATAGATAAAAACTTGCTTCAGATTATTAACTCGCTCTTAAAATTTATACTCATGCGTGCTCTACTTATAATAAAACTTTATTTGAAAATAATATGTTTATTATAATCTTATTTTAAATTATAAACACTTGGCTATGCTTTAGATATTCTCAATGCAGCTTTTTTAATTTTATTATTGTTTAACCAAAATTAATTAGTATATGAAATAATTTAGTTTATATCATTATTTTTTATTTAAGAAGTATATATATTTTATGATGTTATTTCTAATTTTTTTACATATTTAAATTTTCATATATTTATCAAATAACGGTCAACATTTTTAATAGAGATTTGCAAAAGTATTACACAATGCTAATGAATTTTTACATCTAACACTAGAATTTTAATATTTTATTATGTAATAATTAATATTTTAAATTATTTTAAAAATATGAATAATATTGTTTTCTTAATGCAACATACTTAGATGTATACTTTTTATTGACGTAATTGTGATGCTGAATTATTAAAATTTCTTAGGAAGATTTACATATATAAAACTCAAATTTATTTTATTTACTTCTTGAACATCTAAATTTTAATTTACATATATTAACCCCTTTTCTATATCTATATAGAAAAGGTGAATCCACTTATTAAAATGGCCCCAAGCTAAAATAGTGATTTTTTTTTCAGGTGGTATAGATGTTCTCAGTGGTACAAATGTAAAACAAAATTTTAGATGTTAGATATGATAATATGTAAGAATTGGGTGGGTTCTATATGTAGAGAAAAATTTGCGCACGTAAGATGTACGCAATGCTGCGTATGTCGGAGGTTGTTCAAAGAGTATTGAGATGTTATATCTGCATTATACCCCTTGTAACTTCCCTGTAAGCTACTGTAATCTACCTGTAACCTACAAATATACGTATGTCGGAGGTTGTTCAAAGAGTATTGGGAGGTTATATCTGCGTTATACCCCTTATAACCTCCCTATAAGCTACTGTAATCTACCTGTAACCTACAAATATATGAAAATAGATGCGCATAACTTCCTAAAATGAATATATAGGTTACAAGGAGATTAAGAAGGTATAACACATCTAAAATGAACATATAGGTTACAAGGAGATTAAGAAGGTATAACACAGATATTACTCACCAATATTATCTGAATAACCTCCCTACCCAAATTTTTATAGGAATGTAACTTTCTTTATTTTTTCTTGGAAGTGTATTTTGCCCACGATTCCGTATATAAGCGAAGCGCACCGCATTTTAGGCGCTTTAGGGTTTCATTTTTCCGTCCTAACTGAAGAGTTCCGTGTCGGCGACTTCCTGGTTTGGTGATTTGGGTGTAGTGTTTTCTTCGTCGGAGATGGCGGTGGACATAGGACGAGCAACTGCAAGGAAGGTCCGGTGGGGAGAACTCGACGATGACGCTGAAGACATGGATTTCTTTCTTCCGCCGAGGATGGTAATTGGACCAGATGAGAACGGCGTGAAGAAGATGATTGAGTACAAGTTCAACGATGATGGAAACAAGGTTAAGATCACGACCACGACACGCACGCGCAAGCTTGCGCGCGCTAGGCTTAGCAAGCGTGCTCTGGAGCGCCGGGCATGGGCAAAGTTCGGCGATGCTGCTCACGAGGATGCCAGCAGCCGACTTACTATGGTTTCTACGGAAGAAATTATTATTGAGAGGCCTCGGGCACCTGGTTTGTTTCTGGAACTTGGAGCTTATTTTTGTTATTTATCTGATTTTATCTGTTTGTGTTTGTTCATTGATTTCTATGTACGTGTACGCAAGTGAAAAGGTTGTCTTTGTTGTTGTAAACGAGGGTTTAATTACTATTAGAAAAGTGGGGGCATTATTATAAAGGTGAATCTGTCAATTGGGTGAAGCGGCATCTTCAAATGAGATCATGAAGTTTGCCTGATTTATTGTGGCACATATGGATTCTTGTATAATTTAGATTTCTCTAAATCCTATATCATTAGGAGTGACAAGAACTCAATTTCTGCACGAAAATTTGTTTTATGTTTCCTTTGTATTTTATTATTATCACCATTTATACCTATATTATTATCTTCATCTTTCTCTAAGCACTCGTAAGTTTGATGTGCAATCTATTTTGTTTTGCTATTTTGGAGGTTCAACTGAAAGAACACTTTAGAATATGGAGTTTCAAAGGCATACCTAGGTAAAGTCTCAGATTTTTTGGGAGATCATGGCTTTAAGTTGAAACAAGCTCCTACAATTAATTTTATCCTTTCCTCTCTTCTGAGAACACTCTCAATTGAGATATCACCATGCCCTGGATTGGTTGCTGGAAGTCGGGTTTATGCATGAGGAAACAAATTGGAATGGATGCCTATCTTGATCAAGATCCCGTGGTTTTATCGTAGCAGGTCAATTAGTGAAACTTGTTTACCAATGAAGGAGTGTCGAAAGGCCACACCGTCCAAGAATCTAATTAGCAGCATGCATTACCTCCTATTAAGTAGCTCGAGTAGATCTTAGAGACCATATGTTGAAGGGTTTCTCCTTTCAAAGTAAGCCCAAGTTAGTTTTGGTTAAAAAGAACTGAGAGGGCTAGATGGCTGCTCTCAGTTTGGAGGCTAGGGTCATGAACATCAAAGGGGACTTGGTAAATTCATTTTGAAGTTAGTTTAGAGGTGTGAGGCTTGGAAAAGTGCATTCAGTAGTGTCAGTATGTGAGTGTCTTGTACTTAAGTGGCATTGCCATAGTAGGTTTGGTTGTGTGAGTTGTTTATAGAACTCACCCTAATATAATGTTTCCCGAGGCATATGTGTTGAGGGCCATATTGAGTAGGTGTCTCTGATGTGAAGCCTAGTCCTTGAGGCTCAACCCTTGGTTCGTATGTTATCAACTATTTGTTAGATGCTAATTATGGTATCCGTATGTTGCCTCGAGCAGGGAGTCTTTAGTTAGTCCAACTTGACTCACTTGGGAGCATTGCTTTAAGCTCAAAGTAGATTTGAGTCTACTTTTTCGTGATAATATGACTCCCTAGATGGTCTCCAACACTAGGAAAATTGGAGCTTATAGCTCTAGAAAAATATTGCCCAAAAAGTGGAACTTATACTTTACCCATGGAATTATGCAAGACTTATGGGGTTATGGAGGATGTGCATGGGACTTGTGAGTTTATGGCCTCAACTTGGGAATGATGGAGTCCTTGTTCTTTAATGTGAAGATAATTTAGGAAGATATTTTAGTAAATCTTAGAAGATTTGAATCAATTTTTTGACATTGGTGGGATTTAAAACCTTTTAAAGATTGGCCTTTCAAACTCATTCTATATGAGAAGTTGCTTTAGGATTTGAATACAACAACATTAACAAGAAGCCTATATCCCACTAAGTGGGGTTGGCTAAATGAATCCTTTTTCTCCATTGTGTCCTATGAGTGTCATATTTCATTTTTAATTCTAATAAATTAAATTATGATAATTTTTTATACGATATGCCCAAGTCCTTCAAGGTCCACCTGTGTCTTTCTTAACATAAGTCGAATCTAAAACATCTACTCTACTAAACGGATCATCAGATGTCAACATTTAATGTGACTAAGTTATCTAAGACGACCCTCTAAGTCCGCGACTGGAGCTACACCAACCCTATTGAAGGCGTATACATTTCACAATTTTTCTTTAAATGTAAAGCCACCCATCCACCTAAGCATTCTCATCTCGACAACACCTAACTTAGTTTTATGCTTCTTTTTTAAAGGCCAACATTCTGCGCCATAGAGCATTGCAGATCTCACCACCACCACCATTTTATAAAATTTTCCTTGCAATTTAAGCGGTACTTTCACACAATAAGCCCGAAGCATTCCTCCATTTCAACCAACCAACTTGAATTCTGCTAATAATATCCCCATCTATATCACAATCACTCTGAACAATAGACCCGAGATATCTAAAACGTTCACACCATTGATTACTCATAGTTGCAACTCTATCACTAAAGCTACTACTAAAATTACATTCTTTTTATTCAATTTTAGTTTTACTCAAAAGAAGGCCTTCAGACTCCAAAGTAGACCTCCATAATTCAAATTTTTCTTGAGCTTTTTCTCTAATCCACAGAAGGATATCATCAGCGAAAAGCATACACCAAGGTAAATCTTCATGTAAATGTCCAGTAAGAGCATCCATATCTAAAGTAAAAAGGATATTGGCTTAAAGTTGATTCCTGATGTAATCCAACTAAAATAAGAAAATATTTGGTCAATCCTTCTTCTCTTCGAACACAAGTAATAGCTCTAGTATACATATCTTTTATTACTTCAATATAAATCTTATCAGCACCTTTCTTCTCTAGAGCTCTCTAAAGATATCTCTTGGAACTCTATTGAAAGCTGTTTTTAAATCAATAAATTTCATTTATAGATCGTCCTTATTCAATTTGTACTTCTCCATCAAACCTCTCAGTAAATGTGTACCTTCCATGGTAGAACTGTCTGACATAAATCTAAATTGATTATGAGAAATCTTTGTAGTACGTCTTAACCTATGTTTAAACTCTCTCCCATAATTTTAAAACATGACACAAACTTAATTCCTCTGTGATTTGCACACTCTTGTGCATCTCCTTTAATCTTAAAAACGGGGATCAAAATACTCTTCCTCCACTCCTTGTACATCTTTTTAGTTTTAAAAATAATATTAAAGAGTTCAGTAAGCCAAGAAACTCCCAAATTTTCTAAATATTTCAACACTTCAATTGAGATATCATCAGATCCTACAAATTTTTCACTCTTTGTTTTCTTTAAAACCTTCTCAACTACTTTTTATTGACATTGCGATAAAAATGAAACATTTTATTATTATTAATGAGATTAAAATCACTAAGGTCAATCATATTTTGATAAACTTTTAATATTTTCATAAACTTTATTGAAAAGTTTATCAAAATAACTCACCCACCTATGTTGAATATCTTTTTAAGGAAAACACTTTTTGATTCTCATCTTTTGTGCACTTTACTTGAGTTAGATCTTTATTTTTCTTTTCTTTTGTTTTGCTAGTTTATACAAATATTTTTCACCATCTTTAGTATCTAATCTATTATAAAGATCACTAAAAACATAATTTTTAGCATAACAAATTGTTCTCTTAGATTCTTTACAGGACTTTTTATATTTTTCTTAGTTCTCTAAGTTTTTACATTTAAATCATTTTTTGTGACAATTTTTTTATTTTATCTATTCTTGTACATTATTATTTCACCACCAACTACTTTTATTTATACGAACTTTTTCTTTTGATTATTCAAGTACATATTTTGTTATATGTTTAATAGTGTTGTTACTTTATCCCACATAGAGTTTACTTCTTCATCAACTTCCCAAATCTTAAAATTTTGAAGTTTGCTCATAGAAATAATTTTATTTGTGTCTCTTAGGTGCTCTCATATAATTTTATGGCAATGACTCATATTATTCTTTATTTTATAACTCTTCATCTTAAAATTCAGAACTAATAATCGATGTTGAGTACTTGAATTCTCACTTGGAATGACCTTACAATCTTTACATTCTCTACGATTTCTTATTGTCGTAAGAAAATAATCAGTTTTTGTTTTATTAGATCAATTCTTATAAGTAATAATATGTTCGTCTCTTTTATTGAATAAAACATTAGCAATAACAAAATCATATGCTTAAACAAAATCTAAAATGACTATCTTCTTCATTAATCACTCCAAAATTATGACCACCGTGAATATTTCTAAAATCATCCACCACTCTACCGACATGCCCATTTAAATCACCTCTAATAAAAGTTCTCTCTTCAACATGTATCATTTGTTTTAATTGTTCTAGTTCATTCTAAAATTTTTATTTAGAACCTATATCGAAATGTACTTGTGGAGCATAAGCACTTATAATATTAAAAATCTTAGTATCAACAACAATTTTAATACCTATAATTCTATCTCCAATTCTATTTATTTTACTACATTAGCTTTCAAACTCTTATCTACAATTACACCTACACCATTTTTTAGTGCAACTCTGACCTGAATACCAAAGTTTAAAACTTAAACTGTCAATTTTTTTGGCATTTTCTCCAACCTATTTAGTTTCTTGAATACATAAGATATTTATCTTTCTATGAATCATTAATATCAACTAATTTCATTTATTTATCCGTGAGAGTACTTATATTTCATAATTCTATCATAATATTAGTTTTATGGACTAACTTTGTTACTAACATCTGTTTGTAATGTGAGATTCCTTGCTTATTTGACTTTACACCCGGGCGTTGATGTAGTGGCCATTGCACACTTTTCACTGTATTCAGGGCATACAACGTGTCGCTTTCAGAGGACGCTCTAATATTTACACAATGATCAAAAGGATCCATTTCATGAATTTTTGGTAAATTTTATGCTGACTTTCGATTACCTAGCGCAATCCTCTACTTTTCACATCCGGGGCTTGGGAGCAGACAATGACAGTGTTACGCGTAAGGATTTGAATATTCATCATAAATATCTTTGAATGCCTTTTGCATATGTTTAGTAAAATATGTAGGTGAATTTGGTGTTGTTGAGCGATACCACTAGCAAGAGTTGCGGCATTTTGCTATATTATTGGAGGTGTTTAGAAGTTTAACTTATCATTCCAATATTGGAAGGACTTATAATGTAAGAATGAGTAGAGGGAAGGAGAGGGAA